AAAAAAAAAAAAAAAAAAAAAAAAGGAAATTTCTTATCAATACATGCTTATTACTAATCCATGTGAAATGAATTCAGGACCCCAATATTCTGAGTAAGAGCCTTTCCAGGCATGAAGAAATAACTTATTACATTCAAGTTGAGGGCTGAGAAGAACTCAAGCACATCCTCGGTTATTCACAATAAATACCGTCCAAAGCACAAGTTCTCCTCCTGAGCTCTAAGCATGACTTATTTGGCAGAATAGTTAAGGTCCAGCCAATGAGAGAATGGCTACATCTGTAAGGAAACAAAATACTGCCAGAAAGAAAAGATTTGCTGCGGTATGCCAAAGGCAAAGCAGGGCTGGTGTGGGGCGCGAGGGGAGAGCTGTAAAGCAGAAATACAAACGTAACAAGGAAATGAAGAGAAGTATTTTTAAGTCACAGGAAAGATAATGAAAGATATGATTAAAATAAGCAGGAAAGTCCCCTCACAGCCCCAGTGGCCCTTTTCCTGGATTTTGCTACAAAGGAAACAGGCCAGATTTAGAAAATGCGAATTAGGACACCGTTGCCAAAGTGTCTGTATTAGTTTACCACTACTATAGTCCTAGCGACTTAAAACAGCACAAGTGGATCATCTCATAATTCTGGAGGTCAGGCATCTATAGTGTTGGGGTTGGCAGGGCTGCATTCCTTCTGAAGGGCATGGCTAGGGTGGAAACTACTCCTCATCTTTCTACCTGCATTCCTTAGCTCACAGCCCCTTCCTCCACCTTCAGAGCCTTCTACTGCCACCTCCATCTCCCATTTAATGGTCTCCTTCTCTGACTGTGGCCCTCCTCCCTCCCTCTCTCCTTTGATTAATAATGGGTCCACCAAAAACATCTAAATTAACCTCCTCATCTCAAGATTCTGAACTGGCTCACACCCCCCAGTACCCACATTATTCATAGGCTCTAGCAATGCAGAACAGCTGTGCTGGAGCATCACTACTCTGCCTACCCGCCACTCCCAGGAGACTTGCAGCTACTGTGAACCTCTTCTTTGGGAAAATTTGGAATACAAAAGTACTTATCACCAACCATCGTTAGTAAGAGGTGAAATGCAAAATTTAGAAAACAGTCTTACCAGTTTCCAATGAAACGAGGGTCATTCTGGTCAAGGTGAACAGGATTTCTGGGATCAACATAAAAACCAATAAGAAGTCCACCTAATAAATACCCAACTGCAGGGCCAAGCGCTCCCATGACGTACATAATGGCTGAGAAGACAGAAGGGGAAATGTGAAATACAGCGGCGGCATTTCAGGTACAGGCTGGCAGTTCTGCACTCACAGTCACACTGCAGATTCTTCAGGTCGAACCCACTTAACAACTCCCAGAAACGTCTCTGTTGACATTTGGCTTTCACACCTCACCTTGACTTCACTGTTACACGCTGTCCTCGGAGAGCACCAGGATCACCTGGAGAGGTTTCTGGTTGCTTTTGTTGTGTTCTGTTTTTTAATATACAGTAATGTCAGGCTTCACCTCTGCACCACTAAATTCAAGTTTCTAAAAGTAGGTACCCACGCTAGCTAATAAGGCAGACACTGAAGAACCAAGAGAAAAAAGGTTTTCAAGTCTCAAGGAAAAGGAAAAAAGAAGGTATTCTTTGTCGCCCCTGGAGGATTCTAGCAGGACAAGGGGAGGCAACTGAGAAGGCTGGACAAGGCTGGGGTCAGTCGAACTGGAGAAGCTGCTCAAAGGCCCTCCGATGACTAACACCTTTCCGACCACCATTTCTGAATCAAGTAAGATCTTGCAATGTTTATTGTTCATTGAGGAATCTTACTTTAAAAGGAATAAATCTCCCCCTAAATGCCATGGTTCAGGAGATCCAAATGGAAAGCACCAACCACAGGTGAACTACAAAATAATTTTTTAAATCACACGTCCAAACCAGGTGTGGTGGCCCACACCTATAATCTCAGCACTTAAGAGGCTGAGGCAGGAGGATTGCCGTGAGTTTGAGGCCAGCCTGGCTACAAAGTGAGTTCAAGGTCATCTTGAACTGCATAAAGAGACCCTGTCTTAAAAAGATACACACACACAAAATATGCAAGGAGTCAGGTGAATACATGTCTCACAGTCAGTAAATCAAAAAGGTTGTCATTTTATCATCAAAAAAATGCTTTCCATCAAAATGTGTTTATAGCGAACAATAACAAGGTGGTTAGCACTACTTTATGTTTTCATTTATTCCTATTTTCATTCCTATGACTTAAAATTCTAAAATGTCAGTTTTAAAATTTTGAAATAGGATACGAAATTCCTTGAGAATCATAGAAAAATATACCCACATTCCAAAATCCATTGTTTTTCCTACTCAAATGCAATTATTTGGGGACAAAGAATAATAAGAAACCTCAGTGGTAAATGTTTCTCATTTCTATTGCCATCATATATTTGTAACCACTGAAAAATAAGAGGTTTGCCATATCTTTTTTTTTTTTTTTTTTGGTAGCAAGAATCGAACTCAGGTCCTCACACTTGCCAGGCAGGCGCTGGGCCGCTGAGCTATACCCCCAGCCAGCCAGATCCTTTAAACACCACTATATCTACCAGAAAACAAACCGAAGTAATCAGAATGGCTTCACCTTACTTTATCATGCACACCTCAATACACTTTGAATAACCTCGCACCTCCTATTACTTATTACCACAGACACGGAGACAGTAATCTAACACCTGCTCTCGCTTTTCACAGCAGTATGAAAGGGAACGTGCGGTGTGTATTTTACAGAATGATCTCCTGTAACAATGAGACCTTCAGTTCTTCGACTTCTGCATCTGTGTCTGGAAGTAGGGGATGGAGGCAAGGCCTGGAGTAATTTGCGCCCTTGGAAGCAGGCTTTTCACGCGTACAATTAGAATTTCAATCAGAATCTTGTTCATCTCTGTTGACGGCCTTGTCTGTAACTCCAGAACAGAAAGTACTTTTCAGGTACAGGTACTCCCATATGCATACAAAGACAGAAATTTATGTTCACACCTCCAGGCGAACTGCACCATTTACACCTTAAAACTGTAAGGAGTCCGAACTGCGACGTGGATCATCCTCAGGAATAGTTAAAGAGACTGTCTCACCAGCGCAGACAGGAAAAGGATATTTCCGCCATCCTGTTTATGCCCGGGGCGCTTGAGCGCAAATCTCAGAGTCAAGCAGCGCAGGGCAGCCTGTGCTCCGCGGGACCATGAGATTATCCAGCAAATGGGAAATTCATCACATAACATTCACCAAAAAGAAAAACTTTAGCTACTTTATAAAATATCTATAAAACTTGCTAAAAATTCAGCAATGTAATCAGAAACATGTATTTCATTACACAGCAACCACTTTAAGTCCGACAAAATCGCTCCCATACACACACACACACACACACACACACACACACACCTGTTAACCGGCTCCATTTGGTAAATAAATCATCCTCTGGGCAGAAGTGAAGGCTTTCTGGCCACTGAGCTAACATTTACTAGCTGACTGACCAATGGCACTCATGCAGAGATTTAAGGAGCACAAAGCATTGAAGCAAACTCATACCACACCCAACCTCCCACTCGCTCCCCCACTACGGGTCTCGCTGCTCTTCCGGGAGCCGGAGGGTGGGACAAACCAGCCTCTGGCCACCCTGCAATCTTCAAATCATGAGATCTCAGGCCTGTACTCAGGGGTGAGAACAGGCGGGGAGCTGAGGCGCCTCTGTCCCTTTCACACCCTCTCAGGTACTCCATCCAACCTTCATGGACCAACCAAGCCCAGCTGTGCTCCGCTCCTCAGTGTCTCTCTCCTTAGCATCCAGAGGCTACACACTGTCTATTCCAGCGAGCCCCGCCCTTCATCGTACTTCCCTACAGGCAAGAGATTTTAAGTTCTACCCCAGCAGATGGACTTTTCCGTATAATGAGGTGTGCGCACTAGTCTCTCTCGCACAGCTCACACAAACGCTTCAGGAAATGCTGTTAGATCTACCACCAAATCACAGCTGGTACCCAGCTCCCTCTCTTCGCTCTCTGATAACACCGGGGCCGGGTCACCATTGCCACTCACCAGGAATCACTCCAGGATTTCCAGCAGCACCCCTGCTCCTGCCCTTACTTCCCTGCGGTGTATCTTCAGCACAGAAGCTTTACTGATCTTCTAGAAACGTGAACCAGATCACGTAACTTCCTCACTCCCACCTGCAATGGCTTTGCATCCCGTCTGACTCACAATAAAAGCCAAGTTGTTGCAGGCCAAGAGGACTGCTCACACATTTGCACACGTGCACACACACATGCACACGCACACACAGAGGATTTCTCAGCATCTCCTCTCACTCTCCTGGTTGCTTGGGCTCCGGTCTTGCTGACCTCCTTGCTCATCACGCTCACCTTTCCAGGACCGTCCTCATCCTACGGCCCTGCACTTGCTCCATGCGTGCGCCCTCCCTGAAACCTGACACCTCTCACTTCTTCCACCCTCTCCAGCTTCACTTTTCTCCTCAGCACTTACCACCACCTCATCCACTGTATTTCCTCTGTGCATCACCTTTACCATCTGCTCTCTCCGCCTGAGCTAGAAGCACCCCGAGAAGAAGGGCTCTTGTCAGCGGTGTTCACCACTACATTTCCCGGGGCCCAGACAGTGCAGGGTGCACAGCCAGATCTACTCTGAGCATGGGCCCTCCTCTCTCGCAGGGCAAACTTCATGCTGGAAGCGTGGTCCCAGCAATGCTGAGAGGTGGCTGAGCCGTGAGGATTCTGCCCTCAGGGACGGACTGATCCATCTACGGCCTCGTGGGCTGTCCCGGGGCGAGTGGCTTTGTCGTAGAAGTGAGCTTGCTGTCTGACACAGTTGCTCTGTCTTGCGGTGGGACGCTCTGCCATGCTGTGACGCCAGAAGCATGTTCTCACCAGATGCTGAGCAGACAACATCATGCTCCTGGGCCTCCCGGCCTCCAGAACACGAGCTCGGCGCACCTCTGTTCTTCAGAAATGACTTGGGCGCTGGCGCTCTGTTCTAGCCGCGGGAAATGGGCTAAGATAACCAGTGACGTCATTTCCAACAGCAGATGTCAAAGATGAAACTCTTCTTCAGTGCTCATCTTCTCCTGAGATCTGAGCTGATGAGCACAGGCACGGATCCAGAGTTCACATACGCAAATTAATAATCTCACATGTGTTGACTGTGTCTCATCAGATCTTGTTATACCATTCTTTTTTTTCTCAAGATGAAGTGTGGAGCTGCAAGTATGGACTGTTTAATGAGCTATTTAGTGTCAGTAGAAAAAGAAGTTCCAATCTTTTCTCACTATGCCCCTGAGGATCATCTTACAAACCCCGTGGGCGTGCACCCTCCCTTTTGAGAGGGCATTTAATCACTTCATTCTAGATTAAATATGCCCCACTTTTTACTTCTGCTTATCATTTCAAATATTTGTATCTTATCAAGTAGCTCTTTGTCTTGGACAGTCGGGAAATGTCATACATACTACTATCTAATGGTTAAAGCGCAGACTCCAAAACCATGTGTTCAAAGACCAGCTTCAGTTCTTACTAATCATTTGTTCAGTAACAGACTGCTTAACATCTCTGAACTCGCTTCGCCCACCTCTAAAGCAGATAAGACAAAAGAACTTGTTCACAGTATTATCATAGGCATCGCATGAGTCAGTGCTTGCACAGTACGTGGTTTGCCTGAAACATGATATATTTAAGAATAACAGCATTATAAGAATAAGCTGTCTGTTACCATTTTATGTTACAAAATACACAGTTTAGTGTTTGGGCCTGGGTAAATTAATAAATGTTTATGGGCCGATCACAGATAGTTTTGATCAAAAGAAAGGCTGTGTCCGTTATTTGCTTCCCTCTGCCTCTGGTCCCTCCTTGGTCTGAATCTGCTCCTTCAACCATGGTAAGACCTACGGCTTTTCCATCAAAGGAATGTCCCGACACTTGTTATTAGTCATAGACTTACATGCTGCATTCGTTTCTTCATGCTGCTGTGGGGGTGGGGAACGTAGCCTAGACCAGTGACGGCGAACGTCTTGGAGCTTTCAACGACAGCAACCAGCCAGCTGCGGCACATGTGCCACAGGTTCGCCGCCACTGGCCTAGGGGACTCAATAGTGGGTACTGACTCTCTCCCACTTCTGGAGGCTAGATATTCAACATCAAGGTGCCACCAGGGCTGGTTCCTGATGAGACTGCTCTTCCTGGCTGTGCCCCACGGCCT